GTGCCCGTTTCAGGCTGAAGGTCTCCTTCTCCTTGGCGCTGCGGTTGTCACAGACCAGACTCTGGGTGTCCCGCAATGTGCTCACAATGTGTTCCACCTGAACCTTCAGATCCTCGGAGAGTTGTGCCGCTTCAACCGCCTGGAACCAATCCAAACTCATTATAGGATCATGTGACACAGACAGGCTCCACCCCCATCAGTGGTTGGATGACACTCACCTTCCTCTTCTGGATCTCCAGGGACTGCATGCGGAGTGTCAGCTCCTTCTCTATGGCGGCCAGAGAGCCGTGCAGCACGCGCTCCCTCTCCTCCAGCTTCTGTACCTGTAATAGAAGTGTCCATAGGGGGGAGTGTCCATAGGGGGGAGTGTCCATAGGGGGGAGTGTCCATAGGGGGGAGTGTCCATAGGGGGGAGTGTCCATAGGGGGGAGTGTCCATAGGGGGGAGTGTCCATAGGGGGGAGTGTCCATAGGGGGGAGTGTCCATAGGGGGGAGTGTCCATAGGGGGGAGTGTCCATAGGGGGGAGTGTCCATAGGGGGGAGTGTCCATAGGGGGGAGTGTCCATAGGGGGGAGTGTCCATAGGGGGGAGTGTCCATAGGGGGGAGTGTCCATAGGGGGGAGTGTCCATAGGGGGGAGTGTCCATAGGGGGGAGTGTCCATAGGGGGGAGTGTCCATAGGGGGGAGTGTCCATAGGGGGGAGTGTCCATAGGGGGGAGTGTCCATAGGGGGGAGTGTCCATAGGGGGGAGTGTCCATAGGGGGGAGTGTCCATAGGGGGGAGTGTCCATAGGGGGGAGTGTCCATAGGGGGGAGTGTCCATAGGGGGGAGTGTCCATAGGGGGGAGTGTCCATAGGGGGGAGTGTCCATAGGGGGGAGTGTCCATAGGGGGGAGTGTCCATAGGGGGGAGTGTCCATAGGGGGGAGTGTCCATAGGGGGGAGTGTCCATAGGGGGGAGTGTCCATAGGGGGGAGTGTCCATAGGGGGGAGTGTCCATAGGGGGGAGTGTCCATAGGGGGGAGTGTCCATAGGGGGGAGTGTCCATAGGGGGGAGTGTCCATAGGGGGGAGTGTCCATAGGGGGGAGTGTCCATAGGGGGGAGTGTCCATAGGGGGGAGTGTCCATAGGGGGGAGTGTCCATAGGGGGGAGTGTCCATAGGGGGGAGTGTCCATAGGGGGGAGTGTCCATAGGGGGGAGTGTCCATAGGGGGGAGTGTCCATAGGGGGGAGTGTCCATAGGGGGGAGTGTCCATAGGGGGGAGTGTCCATAGGGGGGAGTGTCCATAGGGGGGAGTGTCCATAGGGGGGAGTGTCCATAGGGGGGAGTGTCCATAGGGGGGAGTGTCCATAGGGGGGAGTGTCCATAGGGGGGAGTGTCCATAGGGGGGAGTGTCCATAGGGGGGAGTGTCCATAGGGGGGAGTGTCCATAGGGGGGAGTGTCCATAGGGGGGAGTGTCCATAGGGGGGAGTGTCCATAGGGGGGAGTGTCCATAGGGGGGAGTGTCCATAGGGGGGAGTGTCCATAGGGGGGAGTGTCCATAGGGGGGAGTGTCCATAGGGGGGAGTGTCCATAGGGGGGAGTGTCCATAGGGGGGAGTGTCCATAGGGGGGAGTGTCCATAGGGGGGAGTGTCTATCACATAAAACATGGTGTCAGAAGTACTTGGATCTGCGCTGCTTCTACTCATGGGACGCTTGCAGTGAGAGGCCTTAGTCCTGGTTCCCACCTCGGCGTTAGGGACGGGCGCCGAGGTGGGAACCAGACCATTGAATACAATGGGATTTAGATGTTTGAGCGTTTTGTAGCGCGTTCGCCGAGCGTAGAACCCGCCACAACGCGTTCCGGTGTGACTGCGGGCTCAGCGTAAAGAAGTTGAAGGTGCAAGAAGTCCATTTCCATGGGCACATCCTGTCCTCACAAGCAGACCCTGATAGAGCCACAGCCTGGCGATGCCAGTACAGCGTTTTATTGGCTGTCACATATCTAGCTACATTCACGCCGCACTTGTCTGAGGTGCGTCAGCCGGTAAGAAGACTTCGGGATAAGGATGCGGCTTGGCTTCCCAAACATGACCAGGCAGGGGAGAAAATAAAACAATTGGTCACCGCCGCTCCGGTGTGGAAATATTACGAGGTCACAAAACCGGTTACAATACAAAGTGATTCCAGCAAGAATGGCCAAGGATGTTGTCTATGGCATGAGATCCTATAGGTTACAATGAGATCCTATAGGTTACAATGAGATGCTATAGGTTACAATGAGATGCTATAGGTTACAATGAGATCCTATAGGTTACAATGAGATCCTATGGGTTGCAATGAGATCCTATGGGTTGCATTGAGATCCTATAGGTTGCATTGAGATCCTATAGGTTGCATTGAGATCCTATGGGTTACAATGAGATCCTATAGGCTACTTCCTCACCACGGCATCCACAGGCTGACGGCAAAGCTGAATCTGCGGGGAAGATTGTAAAAACTTTATGCAAAGAAAGCACAAAGTGATGGTAACGAACAGAGGACGGCCATCTTACATTGGAGGAACACTCCGACTGTGGGCATGGATAGTAGCCCAGCACAGAGACTGATGTCACGAAGATTAACCCCTTGCTGGCCGCGGTGTCCCCTCCCCCTTCCTGTGGCGGCCATTGCTCAGTGTTCAGCGCTGCGGTACTTTGGCTGGCGTTTATTCCGTCATACAACGCCGCACTGACATGAATTTTATACCATTTTTCGGGGACAGATCGAGCTTTCTTTTGGTGGTATTTAATCACCGCTGGGGGT